AGGGAAGTGATCGTGCCCCTGTACTCGGCCCTGGTGAGGCCGCACCTCGAATACTGTGTTCAGTTTTGGGCCCCTCACTACAAGAAGGACATTGAGGTGCTGGAGCGTGTGTCCAGAGAAGGGCAACGAAGCTGGTGAAGGATCTAGAGCACAAGTCTTATGAGGAGCGGCTGAGGGAACTGGGGTTGTTTAGCCTGGAGAAAAGGAGGCTGAGGGGAGACCTCATTGCTCTCTACAACTACCTGAAAGGAGGCTGTAGCGAGGTGGGGGTCGGTCTCTTCTCCCAAGTAACTAGGGACAGGACGAGAGGAAATGGCCTCAAGTTGTGCCAGGGGAGGTTTAGATTGGACATGAGGAAAAATTTCTTCACTGAAAGGGTTGTCAAGCATTGGAACAGGCTGCCCAGCGAAGTGGTGGAGTCACCATCCCTGGAGGTATTTAAAAGACGTGTAGATGTGGTGCTCAGGGACATGGTTTAGTGGTGGACTTGGCAGTGCTAGGTTAACGGTTGGACTTGATGTTCTTAAAGGTATTCTCCAACCTAAATGTCTCTATGACTCTATCTGCATGCTTTTTCCATAATGTATGCCACGAAGGAGCAAGTTCAGCACCTATAACTTTCCTATCTGTGCCCGTATTTCATGGTACATTTAAGTTTTTTCTACCTCTAGGTCAGCCCAGATGTGCTGGCAGTAATGCAAGAGAGTGAAGTCTTTGACCTGAGTTACAGAAGCAGAAAAATATACTGCTCAAATATGCTAGCTCTAACAGTAATACAGTTTTAATTTTTTTCCAAGATTCCACAGTCTCTCGTACAAGTTAAGCACACAAGTGTATACATTAACAGCTACAACCCTTGTAGAAAACAGGTTGTTCTTCACTGATCTCAAAAATTAGTAACTCTAAGACCACCAGCTGCTGGCAACAGGATGACTAGGTTTATCCATAATCTCACCCTGCCTGGCTTTATTAAATATTAAGTAGGGTGGATTTTAGCTGTACCAACAAAAGGACTTAAGCATGCTGATAGTTAAGTTCCTCTGTTTATTAAAGGGCAATCATCTTCAGACAACTTATCTATCTTCTTCTAAAATAAAAAAAAGGAATCTAATTCTCTGAGCTAGAGAGACAATATGCTTAACAGTAACTCTTCTAATTGCTCTCCTATTCAGTCCTTAGTTGAAACTAAGTATCAGTTGCTACTCAAATAACATTTGATCTATGGTTTGGCTTTAGAAAAAAATGCCTTAATACATTGTTTATTCAGGACCATATTATGAACCTTCCTGTATGTCTCCACAGGAAAATAAAGTTTAAGGAAAATACTTAGGAAACCTACAAAAGGAAAAAGTATGAAATATATTTAGGAAATGTGCCTGAATGATACAACAGTATACTCCACAGGTTGGGTTTTTTTATATATATACACACCCCCACCCCCACCCCCTCCCTCTGGCAGGTCCGCAGTGTTTTTGAGATTTCTTTACTTGCGATTTCTTAAAGAAATCATTTAAGAATTGTTAGGAATTAAAAAAAAAACCAACTTGGAAACAAGATTAACTAAGATTTGCTTTCTAACTTAAATAGGCTTCCTCTGTTTCTGCTGACATTTCTACCTAACACTTTTTTCCCAGCTAACAAAAAGTCTAACTAGAGTTTTAAGCCAGCAATAACACAACTACTTGACCAAAAGGGTGTAATAAAGCTAATACTTGTTTATGGCCTCAGCAATAGTTGCCAAGTCTCTTGATTTGGAGATGTAAAATTTGCCTTAAACGCATGACCTTCCACATCAAAGGAACAACATCCAGCAGTGTGAGGGCTGAGTCTTGGAATTAATGAGTCTTTCAAATAAAACTAGTGTTGTTCTTTGTGTTTTGTTATGAATTCAATGTCTACCAGTCCTCCTTTAAGAGAAACATGTAAATATTTTAAGTAGATTTAATTTTCCATGCTCTTTCAATGCAGATTACATATTAGTATGTTAAATCCAGCTGGCATGGAAATGTAACTCAGATACTAAAAACAATGGAGTCTAATTAGAAAAACGAACTTTATGTAGATACCCAGTTTGAAGAGCAGCTGGGTGCTGGAAAAGATTCCTTAGAAGTAAACCCTGGCAGGTGAAAGATAACTTCCTAAAGAAAGCGTAGGAGCCTTCAGCTCCTCAGAGTTCAGTGCGTCCAAGGAAATGGGCTAGTAAAGGGGACAAGCCTGGGATGAGAAAAAACAAAGAAGGGGTTTAAAAACCCAATTGGCTTTTATCTTTACTCCTCCAATTGGCTTTTATCTTTACTCCTCCATCTCAGATCTCTGTCAGGTTGTATAGCTAAAGGTTGTGCTGTAAAGACAGCTTCCCAGCCTAACACCAGGCAATTTGTCCCAAAGGATCAGGCTGGCACCATGACAGTATAGAATCACAACCACCTGATTTCTGAAAGCTTTTCGCCATTGCAAGTACACAAAAAGTACAATCTGACTCCTTCAGGAGAACGGAGATTGTTTTCTCATTCAAGAAGTTATATTCTACCAATTTGTATCATTTTCTACCCATCTACAAAAATACCCGTGAAGAACAAAGGGGAAAACTGATGAGGACACAGGCTCAACAAGACTCAAGAAAAGAACACGCATCCTTACATGCTCTCACAGAACTTCGTAAGAGTGCTGGGCTTTTCCTGGTTGCGTCTTTGTCGAAACCAACGTTGAATGCTGCGTACATCCCAGTCCAGCTGCTTGGAGAGGCCCTCCAGCCTCTTCTCATCTGGATGCTACAGAACAGAGAAGGATAAAAATTTTTCCTTTGTCCAACTGCAGTAACTCCACTTCAAATTTAGAACCACTGTAATCACCTCTCGATGTCTTAGAGGCTGCCTGTCAGACACATGGATACATAGAAATAAAATTACTTTCACAGAAATCTCTGCTGGCAGATCCACATCAAAATACGTTTACAGTGACTATTACTAATCTAGAAGGACATATGCTGTAATACTGCATACAGGTTATTACTAATAAGAAACTTAAAGAGAACAATGGGGTGAAAATTTGCTTGAAACTTGGAAAGCGATGACAAGTAGGGATAAAATGCCATGCATTTCTCGAGCAGCGGGGCTTACAAACACTACCCTGCCTGCCACACGCTATGCCTGTTCCATCCTCCTGCATCAGGATCTTTGTTTGACTGACATGGAAAGAAGATATATCCCATGTTTGTGCATGTTAATGTTAAAAAATGAGGTCATTAAACAAAGTGACAACTTCAAAAGAAAATCACCTTGATGACAAGGAGAGAGAATTTTTTTCTGTAAAATTAGCTACACACAATTATTCTCCAAAGCAACAAATGTGGAACTCTCATTCCATTAGAGCAGCTGCAAACCAGTGCAGAGGTAAGGCAAAAGAAAATGAATCTGTCCTTAATTTGACTACTATACGGATAGAAGAGCAGTACAGGCCACATTTCCAATCACGCAGCAATTCTACACATACAGTACTGCATGAGGACTATTTATGTATTTCTCCTGATAACATTCTTTTTTAAAGAAACAGAAAAAGCTTTTGGACAATCTGTTTTCTGAAGCTTTAGCTTTATTTCTGCAAGCCAGTTACATACATTGAATGAGATACAAGAGCTGCCATGATAAAGACTTCTTTAAATGTTGCAAGAGGTAAAACAGCAAAGCTTTCGTCAGGCTGAAGTTTCATCTATCAGCCTCCAGGAAAAGACAGGAAGGAAAGGGAAGGGAAAGGATGAGACAAGAGAAGGGTGAAGTATTTGCTACCCATCTCAAAAAAAAAAAGTCTTTTAGTCAACCAAAGTAGCCACTAGTTTTTCAATGGAAGATTAAGAAAAGCCATTCTCTGTAACTTTAGAAAAATCAAATGATTGATGCAGCTCCTGGGAGCTTGACTAGAGAGAACTGCTGCTGCACATGACTCAAAAGAGGCGGGTGCTAAATTGAACAGTTTCTTTGAGAGCAGCTACCAGACACCCTACCAAACTCTTGTAGGAAAGTAGATACTTTCCTTTGGAGCTCTTCCCACTTGTCTCTGTGCACTGGGTGCTGGGAGCTATGTGTGCCAGCTCCTACCATGACCCACAGGCCCTAGTTAAATCACTTAACACACTCAGGCCCTGTGTTGGACTAGCAGTTTCTGCAAGGAAAAATAAAAATTAAAAAAACCAAAAACATTCTTCCTCCAGCTGAGTCTGGGTGAGAGCACATGTGCTGTAGCTTTTAGAAACAAGTTATGTGCAATTCCCTCTCTGAAAACAGGACAAAAACCACACCAAGTGCCATGGTAATCTCAGGATAGGGTAGGACACAGAAGCAAGACAGATCCATGGCATATTTCACTGCCCCTGACACTGAACCCAATTTTGCCCTCCATGACTCTAATACTCTCTGAAGTATAGGCTGATGCCTTTGCTGTGGCGTGCCCGGCTGCAGCCTGGAGCCGAGGTGGGACGGGCAACTTCCTGCAGCACAGTGGCTTCATCCTTCAGGCCTTCACAAGCCTTTCCATTACGAAGTGGCTGACCACTGAGGTCTTCAGGAGACGCTAAAGGACACCTGATCGCTGCTCACTGTTACGAGAAAGCTCAGGATGCTTCAAAAGCATGGACAGGATGACGTCAAGGTTTAGTTGAGATGTCATACAGCGAGAGCTGTAGACACAGAGACATAAGTGGTGGGGGAAAACTTGTATTGTACAAAAAAAATCTGCAAGCTCTAAAACATTATTCGGTCAGTTTCACCCACTTTTCTAGCTTCTCCCGCCCACCCCAAGTTTTAAAGGACATTCATCACAACATAAACAGCTGGGACACCAGCAAGTCACCAGCGCCCTGTGCTCAGGCAGTTCCCCTAGGAGGAGCAGCTTTGAAGTTTCATGGAAAACACAGTAAGGCCAATCTTACAGGCTCACAATTCGCTCTTTTTTCAAAAAAAGCCCAACAATTTTGTGGAAATTTCTAAAAGATAAGAAGCAAAAAAAAGTAGGTGGCCATATGGCATGTACAAAGTGTTTCTGTAACAACTTCTTTTGATTAAAAGCCTACAGGAGACGTCAGGAAGGAATGCACAACTGCTCAAGCTGGCATGCCAATGACAACCTTGACATTTGCATGCTCTGATTTTATCTGTAAAAATGCAGCACTCCATTTAGCAGTTGGCTTTGTTTTTTCCAGACACAGTTGATAGTGCCATATCCCACTTTATAAAGGTAAATATTTTAGTTAAATACTCTACCTTTGTAATAGCTGTGAAAACTTTTTCCAGGATAGCATTAGGTTGAGCTTTCTGTGGTCCGTTGGCTTGGACTTTAAGGCCTAAGGCACATGGTTTAGCAATGAACCTGTGAGAAACAGAAGAGTGAAAAAAGAAAACAAGTGAAATCCTTCAGTTATTTACTTCACTACTGTTATCAATCAATGACGTGGTAAATGCACAAACATTATAACCCTGGCAGCAAAAACAATACTTAGCCTTACAGCTCAAAAGTAAGCTCATACTTATTTTGCAATGTAGTCGCCTGTAACATCACTTTGAAGGATGAAAGGAACTCTGTGGAGCACATGAAACAGAGGATTTTCTTTCATGTTGTGAAAAAAAAGGATAGAACAAAAGCATGAGAGGAATTCCTCCTAGAGAAGCACCAACTAATGAAAAGAGCAGGGCAGCTTGCAGAGATGAGGAGCACGTAATATTCTCGTCTAAACAGAGCCTTTTTCATAAATCAGTTTCCAGAGTAGCTACTGCCTCAGGACTCCTTTTGCACAGTGGAAATTCAAACAAAGTCCTTAAAGGCAGCAAGCATTGAAGCTACCCAGTCAATACAATTTTCTAAACCATAAAGTTTAAACAGTGTTGAGCCATGCCTCAAAGACTTTGCTCTTCCTCCAAACTCTTCTGCTAAAATACGAAGCTGTCGCAGATCCAAACACCAATCCATAAGTTCATCCAGTTTATAAACTGGGTGTCTCTGATACATTTTAGAGATGAATTATATAACTTACATTACATACACTCAAAGACGACCATTCCACTAATTAAAAACTAAATTATTTGTAACTATGAGTCTAACCCTGGAATCCCCATGAAAGGTACAAAGTCTGTATAGGAATCACATTCATATATGAACAGTATGAACTTCACCATCTTTGAACTATGTAACTCTTGATTTCATTTAAAAGATTTCTGTTTCCTAAGACTTCATTTGTCAGCAGGGACCAAAACAACACTCAGTAGGTAAGAAGTAGTTCCACGTTTATCCAGCTGAATGACTACAAGCTCTTAAAAAATCATGGAATTCTTATCCACATGCAAGCCCCATTTTAAGCACTGTTTTGAGCTACAACTACTGTTTCTGCCATGTTTAAGACAACACAGCTGATTAAAGAAAATTAAGTCCTAAGCAATGCTACAATGGTTACAGCAATAGCATTTTGTAAGAAAGACAGGTGATGCCAGACCACCTTGTTCTCCTTGTTTTTCCAAGGAAAAATTCTTGATACATTGATACCATTCCCATATGAAAGCCAATCCTATAGCCTGAAATAATTTTTGTGACTATTTGCAAGGGGGGTGGAAAGTCATATATCCAAAGACACATGCAGTGTATCAGTGAACTCACTCTGATCCTTGTATGTTATAAGAGAAAAAAAAAACACCACAACAACTTATTACACTCTGTAAAAGCTTGGTCACAATCTGTATTGGTTGCAGATTGCAACCATACTGCTAGCTCCCAAGCATTAACCAAATAAGTGTCACTGCATCAGGTGTAAATTCCCTGCTTTAGGGTTAAGAGCTTTGACAATACCAGTTTCACTGCTGAGCTCAAGCAGAAAGCAGTCCAGTTTTCTGCTCCTGAAACAGAAGCATAAGCTCTGTACATATTATATGTAAATACACTGTAATCTAGCTACATTGGAAACTTGTATATTAGTTAAAGTATAAGGTGACAAAAGAAGAATCGATAATTGTATTCTCTAGTTCAACACGGACTTGCAAAGTCAGTCTCCTCTGAAGTAAGGCTTGATTTGGTGGGGGTTTTTTTGTTGTTGTTTGTTTGTTTAGAGTGTGTGGTTTTTTGTTTGGGGGCTTTTGTTTGTTTGTTTGTTTTACACACATACATCTTTCAACTTCTGTTTTGCTTTTCTCCTTCTGCTGAGTGAAGGAATAAGATAGCCATGATATAACTCCAATAGAAAGGCAGTTCCCTAAACATGCTAATTTAAAAGAAAAAAAAAAATAATTTGGTAAAGTCAAAAGCAGATTAAAAAGTCCCAGCTAGAAAAATTCCACAAGGAGCAATTCCAACAAGCTTCATGCTGAGCTGATCTTCATTTTAATCTAAGCAAACCAGCCAGGTTTGCTTAAATGCCATTCTTAAAATGACATGTCTTGCTAATGAACACCCTAGATAAATCCAGAAGAAAGCACAGATACAGTGTTTGTCTAGATTTTAAAAAGAGAAGAGAATTGTAATATTGATGTTATACCCATTACCTAAAACGAAACACATTTTCTTCTTCAATCTGGTATTTTCTAAACAGCAATATAAATTTTTCTTCCTTTGCTGCTTATGTTTTTCACATGCACTGGAGGAACGGGCGCGTGACCCAAACCAGGGCTCGTCCACAAGGACAGCAAAGTGCAGTTAGGACGTGTACAGGGTACACAGCTGCAAAACACAGGATGATCTTAGCCAGCTATGTCTTGGAAGAAGGGATAAGGAAAGTTTAAAAAACCCACAGAGGTGTCTCTCCTGATACGCTCTTGTGGTCTTTCTCCACTTTTGAAAAAAAGCTTTAAAAAAATCCCCCTCAAGGGATTGTTAATTCCTAGTAGGACACTCAAGGGAAATAAAGCAATTTTAACAGAAATATTTTATATGCCTGCAATACTGAGCAGGTCTGACCACCAATTCAAGTGTGCATGAGCCATGTCCATGTGATTGCCTTTGGTGCAACTGGTAAAATTTAAGAGCTATTTTTTACTTTTCATACAAAAATTTAACAAATTCAAGCTATACTTTGCAGTATAAAAATTGTTTTTCAAGGTTAAAATAGAATTTTAAAGTAGAACTTAATCAATTGGATCCCAAATGTCACACCAGCTGACATAAAAAGCATCATTAACATAATTCTCACTGATAGTTTTCCATAATAATTTAAAAGCACTATTCATTTTTTCCATTTCTGCTAACGCTGTGGTATTCAATTCCCCAAGCACTCTTACTGAAACCCATGGGACTATTTATTGCATAAGGCACCACAATTAAGAGGGAAGAACTATTGTGAAAGAGTAAGGAGAGCAGAATTGAGTATACTGACAGCTTTTCTCTTTAAAACATGTAAATCTGAACAAATGCCACACTAATATCTCTTTTTCAATGGATTCCAGTACAGCTGAATTGAAAGCTGGCATTCAATTACAGAGAAATTAAGAGACAAGCATTTTTTGCCGAATACAGCCCCATCTATTCTGGATCTAGAAATGAAAGACCAACATAAACAAGGGAATTAAACTCAGAATTCAAGTACCTTTTTATAGGCAGCTTCCTCATTCACAATCTAAAGCCACATTAAAAACAAAACTGACCCAAAAGCCCACAGCCAGCCAGTTCTGATAATGTGGGTTACTGCACAGCATCCGAGTGGGAAGCACTCAGCCTTTGCAGGCCCATAAACACCACACCATGTGGCTGAAGACAACAAGCATTTCTGATTGTCCTGTACCACCTGAAGGCAGGCACTGATTTGCATTTTGAATCCTGTCTGTTTTTCTCAAATCGATTATTTACAACAGTGACAGCAAGGCCTCATACTCCACCCCAAAAATCAGAGATCAGTTTTTCTCTACAAAGGAGTCATTGCAAAATGATCCCCCACCTCCCCTAGAGCATAAAAAGAAGCACCATTTTACCCGAAGTATGTAAATTTGATCAGGAACAAGTACCATTTTGGGTTTCCCACTTGCCCTTTAACAAATGCCAGCTAGACAAAGTCAGCCGCTATTACAACAGAAGAGTAAGTAGAAAAAGGAGAAGTTAAAAAAACCAAAACCACCAACGAAAAATTAACTTTGCCCTGGTGGAGGAAGGTAAACACCAGTGGGGCACCACTTGCTCTTTGCAGTGATCGCAGCAGGCACAGCGGTGCGCAGAGGGAGACGCGGATCCCACCCAGCCATCAACCCCAGGGAAAACAAAACCCCAAACCTGCAGACTCTTCAGAAGCCATTCCCACCGCTCCACACTAGATGTCTAATTCCTCACGTTCATAAAATTACAGCTTAAAAATATGCTGGTTCCACTTCCTGGGCACTCCGCACCCTGGAAAAGTTTCTGTTTAGAAATACGAATAGGTCAGATCCGCAATGAGCACAAACCATCCTGGGCACATCAACTGGAAACGTAACTGCAGCATCACTGATAAACTAACCGCTAAGAGTAAGGAAAATGTCCCCACTGACTGAGAGCTCTCTCTGTTCTCCTTTACTAGCTATTTGAGCCTTACTAATTAATCACCATGTAACCCTTTTAGTTTGCTGCTTTTCATCTTGACAAATTACAACATTTTAATCCCAGAATTAACTAGAAATGTTAGCGTTGACTCTCATAATCCTTGGAGGCTGATGTTCATTAGCACTAGCAAAGTCTGCATGAAATAATTTTTTTTTCCAAGTATCACATGAAGGAGGAGAAGAAAAGTAAAGGATCCTTTTTTTTTGTCATTCTCTGGATTTTACTACAAATCAAACAGCCCTACTCGCGACATGTAATCTTTGCCCTGAATCCGGTCAGAAACTAATATAGAGCAACTCTTTAGTCATCTGGGGCACTGGAAATATGCCTGTAGGGCCCTCCTACAGCACATGAATGTAGTGTTTCCATACCAGCAGGTCATCTGCCATTTCTGAGCTGACCACAGTGGCTGCCCTTTAGCAAATCCATGTTTGACAGCTTCTCAGCAGCTTTGAAGATGCTCAAACCACCACAGAGACCACAATAGGTAAATAGGGATTACAGGTTTTTTAAACAGACTAAAAGGTCTGCAAGAATTAAGGCTTCCCAAACAAGGCCAAAAAAACCCCAAAAGACACAACACATTAAGCTGACAGGGCTAATGAATATTTGATTCATGTAATAAAATATGCCATTTTTTTTAATGTATGGAGAGATATTAAAAAAAATATTCAATGGCTTGTCCCAAATTTTCAATTTAAGAAATATCAGTCTTAAAATAATTGACAATGTTAGCTGGCAAGCGATATACGTTAACCAGTTCAAAGCAGGCTTGGATTCCTTCCCAAGCCCTTTGAAGTGATAAAATTGTACTACTTTGCAATGCTTATTTGTCAAATGTTTCTGCTCTATTTAGAAACTCACTTCATGTCACCAAAATTCTCTCTAGAACAAGACAGCAAGAATCCAGAAATTGAAAACCATAAACCTCCTTCCTCCATTTTTACTGAGATAAATAAGCAAAAGAAGGGGGGTGGGGGAACCCACAACACCCCAACCCAAGACCCCACAACTCTCTCCCCTCTCCCAAACACAAACCCCATGAGCTGATAAGAAAGGGGCCCAGGAACGGGGAAGCAATAGACTGAATGAACAAAAAAGTCTGCTACAGATTCCCCCCCTCCCCCTACTGCGGGAGGGTAACAACTTACTATCTGATCCTTGATTTTACTACGCTGTCCTAATATAAAATGCAATAAAAGCTATTGAACTCATGTCCAATTATTTTCACAAAAGGATAAGGACAAGATTATCCATTCAAGAGAACCTAAATCAAGATGAGGTTCTTTGACGTAGATGAAAAGGGGTGTTTTACACTCCTGCATTTAAAACTGGCATACCTAAAATAAGTCACCATCATGAGGGACAAAGCTGCAAGAAGTCTTACTAGGCCCCAAACCCAGGAATAACTGCCAACAAAATAAACTTAGAATTTTTTTTTTTAATCGACTTCCCCTATCAGATTTAATAAGCTGTCCTGCCATTCACATGCAGTATGTTTTAAATGTTGTATGTCAAGAAGGTTTCTGAAATCTGATAAATTTTTGATTTAAAACTTTCGAACTACGTGCACTGAAACAAGTGACCTGTCTGCTCCTTGACCTCGAAACCTCTCCTGAGGATTGCAAGCAAAGACTGAATTCGTTTCAGTTTCTGACCTATTACTGTCATTTCTTAGTTTTGCATCAACCTTCTTGTTCCTCCTGAGTCTTGTTAAAGCAATGACTTTTTCTATCTAAATGTAACACATTTTAATGGCTAACAGGCTCTGTAAAATCTTCTTCCCACAAATTAGAAAACCTTTTTTCCTTGACGTACTTCAAGCACAGAAGGCTTCTTCCTTCACTTAACTTTATTTTGTGGCCAACTTCAAAATGGAAACCCACTCGCAAATTTTCATCAGTGCAAGAAAGAAAAGCTAAGCTAGTGCACTTTTCACACTTTTTAAAAAGTGTTTGTTGATCACAGCTTGAACCATTGCCTTTTGTCTTTCATTTTTATCAAAAGTAGGTCATATTATGGACCAACAGACAGGACTAATGGCCTTTTATTACAGCCCAAAACTTAAGAAGCCCATCCATCCCCTGACCAACAATCCGTTTTCTGGGAAGGTACCTCAGCCTGGCACAAAGCATCAACCTGAAGACAGCTCCTACATGATCTGCGCTAACAGATTAAAAATTTCATGAAGCCATCAGGCAGAACCCTGGCTACAAAGTCCCCATGAACACTGAGAATATGCATTTTTGCTTTAGCCTTTCACGTCCACAAAGACATTTGAGTTAATAGCTTGCCAGTGCACCATGAGTTTGCATCTCCCTTTCCTGTGCTGAGGATGCATCTACATGGAGAAATCTGAGAAAACTACGGAGAATGCAGAGCATCTCTGAGTCATCTCCAAGTATAACGAACTCTAGTTTGAGCTAAGTGGTATACTCTGATTACATACATATAGCATCTCTGTGAACCTGGTAAAAAAACTCTCACTTGGACACAGGCATAGTTCACGTGGTGCTTGCATAAAAGACTGCTCATGTTGCTAACACCAGCCAACTGTGAGCTCCATAACAAAAAACCCAAGCAAGCTATTCCTGCAAATTAAGTATGTCCATCAAATTTCAGAGTTTCCTATCAGTATATTTACAAATATCAGGGAAGGCAGTTATAACCAGCAAAAATTCCTCTCTGTGCTAAAGAGGTGCTCAGATCTGTCTTGAAGTCTGGCTCCCTTTTTGAAAGACTGGTGCAGAACAAATTTTCCCAGCTCATCTACTTTATGCTCTCTAAACACAGAATGTTCCAGGGACTTATGATTACAATTGTCTAACCTGTTGGACATTGCTTGCTGGTTTTAAACAGAAACAATCTAAATTTGCTCTAACTGCAAGGATGAGTGAAAGCAGAAGCAGTTTGTTTCTGAGCAGACGCTCAACAGATTCACTGCCACGACACAAAAACAATTGCTGAATTTGTTTTGTTATTTTTGTATAGCTGACCTACTTAATTCAGAAGTTACTTGTATTACTAATAAAAAAAGGCAGAAAAATCTTAACAGTCCTAGGACAAATTCAGTAGATAAGTAGGCTAGTCACTTCAGTATACCTATCCCAGCACTGACTTTGGCTTTACGTTCCCATAGCCTTCTGCTACAGGAGGCCCACCAAGATACAATGTCTGAAGCACAGTCTTAACTCAGTTAACCTCATCCAGTAGCTATACAGAAAAGTTAACTTCACTAAAATTTGTTGGCTGTGCTGGGAAATGGGTCACAACTCCCGCAATGAAACCTTTCAAAGGTAAGAACCTGCCTGTCCAAGCAAGAAGCCCAGCACACAACTTGATACATCAGAAAGAGTCTTCTGCTGCTAAGCATCACGAGTGCTGCCTCAGAGGGCAGTGCGCAGGACTGCTCAGAGCCAACCCTTTCAGAGGGGACCTATTCTCAACCCTCCTGAAATGACTTCAGAAAAGCACACACATGCATCTGCCTTTCATCTGAGAGGTCCGATGCTCTTCCTTCTCTTCTTCCTAGAGATGCATTAGGCGTTATATCCACACCAGCATCATTATCCCATACCTCCCATCGTTATACAAACTAAGCACTATACTGTGGAGCCCACGTGTGTTTCTAAAAAATAAAAGCTAAAGCAGCTTGCGAGAGAATTCAGCTTACTGAATTAGTGAGGTTTTGTCTTTCTTTGGCTCAGATTATTAGACAGCATTTATACTCACTAGATGGGGGAAAAAGATTGCTGGAAAATCAGTACTTTGGGGTGGCTTTTTTTTCCCCCCAAGGTTTTGAAGGCTTCTTGTTAATGTTTTGACCAGAGAAACCTTTCCAACAAGCAAACATGTTTTTGACCTTGGCATTTCCACAAAGTATTCTAAGTTTCATTAAAAGGTTTTAAAAAACCCAAACCAAACCAACCCAAAAAAACCCAACCAACCCACACATTGATCACCAATGTCCTGCTGCTACTTAAACACAGAGCTGGGAAGTTATCTGAAATCCTTCCGAATAAAGGGGATTGCTCATCCCTCATAACAAAAAAATCAAAGTACACGTCAAACCTGGCAGTAGAAAATGCATCTATTACAGTACTTGGACCTCAGGGAGCGTGGCTGGCAGCAGCCTGCAGTGCCGCTGAGGGCTGGTGGAACTAATGGTGTGGAATGAGAAACTGCTCATCTAAAAGAAGGAAGTGCAATCCAATACTTTACTAAGTGCAGGTATTTGCTAGGGTCTAGCGTGGGCAGAGTCCTAGAAGCCAGTGGTGGCAGAAGCTGATGCATCACTACACGTCGGCTCTATCAGGCTTGCTCCATCGGCCAGATACCCCTCTGGAATACCAGTCGCTAGTACTCAAGTACCACCACAGCCCCTGTAGCGCTACAGCACTTGCATTTTTCCCATGCATTTTTCTGCCTTTTGACAGAAAATATTCTTTCCTTTATCAAAGACGGATATAAAAGGCAGGCTAAAGAATAGCACTACACCTGTAACACTTGATGCAACAGGCGTACTGACATGTACACATATTAGCTGTATAAAACTGCTCCATCTCTGCTTGCAAGAGCAATGCTTCACCTTCAAAAAGGTTTTAGTAATTTTTCAGCTGGGAAGCAAAGTGCCCTATAAATTCAGCATGTTGTCCTAGCAAAACAGCATTCAGCATCAAGTGTTTTTCATACTTTGGATGCTATGGAAGTGAAAAATGATTTTATACAGACCAGTTTTAGAGAAGAAAATTTGGTCACAGTAGTCTGTTTGGGGGCAATAAGGGACTCAAGGGCTTTCGTCCAAGAGTACTTTCACATAATAGAAAGTTTCACTTTACTCAACAGTCTCTGAAAGCTAGCTGTGATAAAAAAAAGGATTCAGTAGCTGCATTTCAGCTTGCAGGCTTACCAATTAGTGCAGTGCT